GAAGGAAGGACAGTGTCGGCACCAATTCAGAGATGATTTGATTATCTACAGCTGAGTAATGCGCAAATAAGGTACAGCGCTGTTACAAATTAAGGTACTTCAATGCATTTTTAAGTTTTAATTCCTGAGTTTAGTGTCACTAAAGCAACTTGCATAATTCTCTGTTTCCTAGTACATATTTGCATGCTTGCATCAAGTGTTTTTGAGCCTTACTTTGCACCTTTGAATAGCAGGCATCCCCAAAACTCAACCCGGTTCCTGATTGCTGGCTCTGGACCCAACGCCTCACATCTCATGCAGGGGCATAGTCGCACATCCGCTTTCCTTTGTGCAGAGGCACTATATATGGATTGGGTATGGCATGAAAGCAACTAAAGTTGCTTTGCTTTCATAGTATGTTAAATAAAACAAACTGATTTGCATAAAGCAAAGGAACATTGCCTATCAGGTTTATGTATTATGATAGCATATAAAAGCCTACCATACCTATTCAACGTTCATCTTTTTCTGCAAACTACCATCTGGTTGGTTGCTGTGAATTATTGCACACTGCTATATTGAATAGGTGTCCTGCAATTTCTATAAAGGGGGCTATATTCCATACGTAGGAACTGCAATATAAAGGGACTCACCTGTTGTGTATGGAATGGCAGTGATGGGTTGAGCTTGGGCACTGCTGCCCACAGTGGACATGCATCCAGAGAAACTCAATGCAAAGCCAGTCAAATGCAGCCTCAGAACTGCTATCCATACTGTACAGTAAAGTAAATGGGGATCTGCAAACCTGCTATTTGAGCATTTCAGAAATATATTTCAATTGACTAGCTGTTATGTTAACACACTTGGGGTAATTTATCAAAACAGGAGCAGAGCGAATCTGGAGCATTTGTGCATCCAGTTTTGATAAATTCCCCTCACTGTCTTTAATACTTTGAAGAATCAAATGTAGCTAAAGGAACAAAAGTGGAATTATGGCCCATAGCAACCAATCACTTTTCATGCTTTTTTCTCTAAGAACATGAAACATTTAATTCAACACTATGGTTGAGAATTAAAATGTTGTTGCTGTGTCATTTTGTCAACCTTTTTATATAAAGTACCCCTAGAAGGTTTACTTTTGAATTGTTATTGTACTATGCTTTTCTTCCTGAGGGGAATCTCATACATTACTGCATATATGTTTCACTTTTATGCTACAGTTTTCTGACTTTTGTGGTTAATAAAATGAAAATGTTTGAAAGTGAAAAATATAATAAATATAATAAAATAAATGTCCGAAACCAGGGTAATCTGCAAAACTGATGTGTAATATAATATTGTCTAGACTTCAATTACAGTGGGAAACATAGGTATACATTTTTATAAAGTGGATTAAATGTTAGTGTAAAACTGGGACATCTGACAAAGCTTCCTTGTATTGTAGTACAACTGTGTAGTGTCAGGCCTTGCAAGGAGAGAAACCCATCTGATGGCCTGTGTAAATAAATGGAAGCATAATCTAACGGACTGTTTTCAGTAGTTTATGACACGATTATTTTTTTCTCTTCTGGCTTAGGTTACCTTGTTTGAAATGATGTGAAAATTTATAGGCGGGACAGTCAATCTGTATTCAGTCTGCCAAGTGTGAATAAATAGACCTTTGTGCTCGGTTGTTATTTGTAGAGCATGTTCATCTGTATGGCCTGAACACAGCATCCACAGGGATTCATAAAAGTCAAAGCACTGGTATGTGCTGCTGAATGTTGCTGGATAAATGTATAAATTAGAGCTGGAGGGGAAATCGCACAGCAGCGTCAAGTAGAAAACACCAACATGAGACATCACCCTTGCAAATAAGAAGCCATCAATAATGACCCTCTCTCTCTAATCTTACAACATAAACTAAAAAAATGTTTTAATTTTAATGACCTTTTATCATTAGGATGCCGTGCAATTGCACTAACGTTGTTACCCTTAGGGGCATTACTAATATATGAGAGGCATGCTGCTGTCCCCTCTCACACTATTGACTAAACTATCAGGCCCTTCCTACATGCCAAGTCACTGGAATAGTAAACTGTTACTTTTATTAATTATTCTTAACGTAGTCGGAGATCTCACAAACAACAAGGTATTTTACAATATTGCTTTCTTATTTTTCAGAAAATCTACAATAAAGCCTATCTCCAGTTATAAAAAAATAAAACTACCCTTATAGTGGGGCTAGCCCCACACCACAAGGGGTTAACTGCTTGTTTATGTCTGGGGAGATGTGTAATGGACTTTCAGTTACCTGATCCCCTGATGGTTGGCAATCACCTATCTCCCCTCCACTTTGGCTATTTGACTGTCCTGCAAAATCCTCACTTATAATGCAGAGCTATGGACCCTGCATTAGATATGACTATGTCAGTGGGCCTCCAACTGCTTGAGTGCAGAGGGGAAGAGGTTGTGGGTACCATTCTTGGAGGTCAGGCATCAGAAAAGTTGAAGTGCTTTACGCAATTTTATTTTCCCCTTATTTAATCATTGTAAAGGTGCCCACACACCTTGCGATAATCGTGCGATAATCACAGGAAATCCCGCGATCGTACGATTATCGCAAGGTGTGTGGAAGACGTGCGACCTCTCCTACTGTAAGGTCGCACGACTTTCATCTTATGAACATGTTCGAAAACCCGCCGAGAATCGAACAATTGTCGGTGGGTGTGTGGCATGTTCGCAAGATAAAAGCCGCACGGGCCGGTGTGCGCAAGCTCACACTGCCCGTTTAGCATTGCGGTCATCAGAAGCCCGCCCCTCAGCAGGGCGGGCTTGCGATCATCGCAAGTACGATGTGCCTGTCCAAGATAGGCAGATCATACGTTTTTTTAATTACCTTAAAACCATCGCAAGACAAAAGTCTTGCGATGGTTGTAAGGTGTGTGCCCAGCATTAGAAAGGCAATGGAAAGCATTTTGAAATCTTTTTATTTTTGTGCATTTTAAAAACGTAATTACCTTAAATGCACATGCTTTCTTTGTTTATACAATTGTTCAGGGGCCATATTAAGTAAAGATTGCTAATTCCTAAAGTGTAAAACCCAAAGTCTAAACCCAAGAACAAAACATGAATACGTTTGTGGTAGGTTGTAATAATACACAAGAAGTGGTAGCTTAATTAATATCCTAGGATGACAACGCTCACTCACTGTTCTGTATCTATGAAGCAGCGGTATTGTCACCCCAGTACAGGAAGTGGTTTAGGACTACAGAACCCCCTCATTTCCATAAGGTGTTCCATAGGTGTTCTGTTCACACAGAGAAGTGGGTAGGTCTAATAACACTGATAGCAGTGCAGCAGATGCCGAGTGTACAGAAATTTACAAGCTCACTGAATTTCTGGCAGGATCAACTGATGTTATTTTATACTTATTGAACATATATAACAAAATGCTTTTTAATGGAATATTTAACCAAAAAGAAGAGTGTTTCCATGCACTTTAAGAATACATCCCTAAGTCCTATTACACACTAGGTTCTACGGCTTCTGTTAACTTGGAGAGGTGGTGGATCAACTTTCTTTCCTTTTGCATGGGTAAAGTAACACTTTAAAGATTTCAAGAGAGGCTGTGAGATGCCTCAAAGCCTGCACAAATATGATCTCAGAGGACCGCAGTTGTAGGTAAATATGACCTATTGGCAATGTGCTGGGGGGTGGGACAGAAAAGGATAAGCACACTAACAGGGTTATTCATAAAAGGGTGAAGAGTTTGGAGAAGGCAGGAGAAGGGAACAATCTAGGACAACATAGCTGCACTGGAAAGTGAGCTGAATTGGAGAATTTTTCCAAATCAGCTATATTGTCCTAGATTGTTTGCTTCTCCTGCCTTCTCCAGACTCTTCACCCTTTTGTGAATAACCCTGTAAATGAATTAAGAATTAGTTCTTATGAATAAGCTATCTTTATTGCATAAGGCCATTGAGAGTTGGAATGCCTTTTTTCCAGTGCTAGGGTCCTGGGAAAGTTCTGGCTCCATTTCCTAACAAGAACTCTGTCTGTATGCAATTAATATATTGTGTTTGGGTTTGGGTTCTTTGGTTTCCTTATTACAACCTTAAAAAACATTCTAGTAGGTTAATCAGAAAACTGGCCCTAGTATTTAAGCATGCGTGAATGTGGCAGTAACATTAGATAATAGACACTTTTAGGGCAGGACTAATGTGAATACTCTAGGAGTTCTGTAAAGCAGTATAGATCCATCAGTACTATATCATTTAATAAAATTTAATTTTGAAGGCATAACGTTTTAGTATTACGGGAACTTTAGTGTTCCCACATATGTCATAATTTTTTTTTTACAATTCCATTTGTGTGTGTTTTGATTGCATGGTGTCTCAAATAATGTCTCTGCACATGGTACATTTAATATAGCTGCCATATAACAGTATTGGCTGTAGAAGGGGGTCATAGTTGTGTTTTTGGATTTGGTACAGACATACACTGAAAGTCTTCAGCTGCAATGTAATTGCATTGTAAAGGGAATGTCTGGACCTCTGGTGTGTTGCTGTAACTTTAAGGAGGATACAGCTGCCTCCATGTGAGCCTGCTCTCTGTTTTGCATTGGTATAGATATCCTATAGTTGAGAAAAACAGGTAGTTTAGAGTTAGGAACCATACTTATTAGAGGTGGGTTGAAAATATGTTTTAAAATATTATGTTCGTGACCACAAAAAATAAAGAAAATGTTTACCATGCCATTATATATTCTCCTTTACAACAACATTTACCTTGTATTATCAGCAAAAAAAATAATTCAATTAAGATTTGCTGAAAATAAAGGCTCAAGAACATCCACTTTATATTATATAGTATGGACATACTTACCAAGTGTAAGCGTTAAGTAGAAAGCTTCTCTCTTCTTCTATGCTATTCATCTTGGAATGCTGACTTTTTTTAGTGTTTGGATAGGAAGTCAGATGATCTTGCAGCTTCTTTTTGGAATGTGAAGTAAATTTTTCTGGTCTGTTTTTTTTTCTCAGCCAGCAACCCAGGGACAAGCCATCGGAGTCCAAAGTGGCAGGTACCTTTTATCATTTGTATAAATAATAAATTGTTTCATGAAGCGTGGAGACTTATTTACTGTGGCATATAACTCAAAGTCAAATTGTTTGTGCAAAGCGCCTTTCTTGCTAAAATATTATTGGATTCTGTCGTTCTTCCTCTTTCCTTCTTTACTCTCCTCCCAGCCTTTTCTCTTGAATCCTCTCTCCCCCACCCGCCACCCCCTTCTCTTTTTCTATTTTTTTGTTTTTTGTTTTTGTTCTTTAGCAAGTGATTTATCCCTCCCTACTGTAGCTCCCTAGAATCTATTTGTTGAAGTGCGATTCACTGGCTGACGATCTCGCACTCCTCAGCACCTCATTTGTTTATCCGTATGCTTCTCGTTGATACAAACAATGTCACTCTTTTTCTCTGGGGATACTCACCAGCCCTATGTCATGTACTGTGCATTATACTGTCTTCTTTTGGGGGTTTTTGACAAAACCTGAATAAAAATATTGATAATAAATTAATATTGGATTCAAAACAGTGCAACTATAAGACAATTCACTTTTAGAAGGTACAGAATAGAATGCCAAAGGGGTGAATTTAGTAGGGATTTGTAGGTACATGTTGTTTGCTACAATTTTGGGGTGATTATCCTGTGTTCACTTTCAATCCCCAATTAAGTTCTGAGGAATTTATGGACTTTTGCGTTACACAGGCTAGTGTAAAAAATACTCCTGTAGGAGTTAATTCCCTTTGTGTTTACGTGTCCCAAAATGCTAAAGATTATTATGCAATGTTTCCATTTGTAGCATTTATGTTATTAATGTTAGAAATTCTATTTATTGTTTGCATATACAGTATATCACCTAAGCCTAAATCCAAAAATGTGAAATTGTTATTCTTGTAAGGTCTCAGAACTTAAAGCCGAATTCCAGATTTATTTTTTTAATGATTTCAAATTATCTTGCCCCTCTTTTTTGTCTGTACGTTTAATAGTAATACTTAGCCTTATCCACCTTGCTCTAGCAATCTCTGCGTCCTCCTGCTTTAGCATCATTCAATCAGAAAGTTTAAGCACATCCAGTCGTTGTCTGACCTACTGGTCATCAGGGGGCATGGTCATTACTCTGGCTGTACTTACTGCATTTAGGATGCTCAAAAGTGGGAGTGTTGTTGAAGCCCACCCCTACAAAACACTGTTTTAATGTGTTTATTACTTAATACTTATCATTAAGTAACATTAATGCCTAACATTAATTATTAATGTTTATAATGTTTCTGTTTCCATATAATGTCGCATGGGTTAACTATCATACAACACCTTTGGGGCTCTTTTCATGCATTATATCTTTTCTCCGTATTTGCTTATTCACACATGATACATCATCATGCATTTTTCTTGGATTAACCTACATTCTAACTTAATTCAAAAGTTCAGTGTGAGTGAACTGCAACTTGTGTTTATGTAATTTATGTTATTGTGTGCATTCTTGTCATAAACTAATCCTTAGGGGTTCTCAAATTTGTCATAGGTAGGTGTCCTTACTGGCAATGTGACCAGTTGAATTGTTCTGCTGCTCTGAGGCTCTTCACTCCTTATCTTTGGTTGTTGCAGAGTTATGGGGCACTACAGATGGCAACCTCCTTATGGCAAATCAGTGGAAAGGGCCAAACCACCTTATGCCATAATGAATGCACTGTATTTCCACTGTTTTTTTATTACCACAAAGCAGCACTTCTTCAATGGGAAGACTGTTAAGCCCCATCTCATCTATTTTTAAAAAGCTAATTGCTAATGATTTGGCAGTCATGGCTGGACATCAAAATTGTACAGAAATATATGCCATACCATGTTGGTACCTCTTTGATTGGGGTTCTTTGATTGGGTCAGCTTTGTAGGTATGCTTACTGGATTTTGTGGGTGAGCAGGGAAAGGTGGTATCTGAGGGTAAGTGTATGTAGGATAAATGGTTTAAGAATGGGCAGTGACCTTGGTTTGATTTTATGGTTGTTCAGTGCATCAACCACATACATTTGCGTTCCCCAAGCAGAGTGCTACATGTAGCTTGTATTACATAGCTTGGTAGAAGATGTTTAACCACTTTGCTACCCGAGCAATTTTTTCATTTTTCACATTTTTCACAAAAATCTGCATTTTTCACGAAAAATGTACTTAAAACCCCAAAACGTTATATATTTTTTCAACTTATAGAATAAAAACTATTTTCTATGTCACATGATATTTGCGCAACTGCTTATCAAATCTATATTTAAATACAAATACTTAAATGAATTATACTGCACATAAACACAATATAATTCCCAACATGTTAAGCCTCAAAACTGTGTGTACCTGTGCAATGGTGAAACATTACAATAACCAAAATTATCACTAGGCAATGCTTTAAATGCCTTTACAGGTCATCAGTTTATGGGGTAACCATAAATGAGGGATCTACAATAATTTCTCTTACACTGGCATGCACATTGATACCCGATATGTATTGTCGAACCGAAGGGCTGCTGTACGGACTATTCACAATAGCCCATACTGCAGCCGAAGGCAGCCGAGCGGCTCAGGTGAGCCGAAGACATATGCATCAGCTTGACTGAGCCGAAGTCACAGCCGAAGCGGGTAGAACTGCCTGCCAAAGGGCCGGCTGTTCTCCACGCAAATAACAGCTGGGCGGAGCCAGCCATGATCTCACGGCTGGCTCCGCCCAGTTGCAGTGACAGATCAGCGTCCCCAAATGACCTGGGGACGCTGATCTGTCATTGAACAATAACAACTGGGCAGAGTTGGGCGTGATGTCATGGCTTGCTCCGCCCAGTCATTATTCATTGGCCGGTGGTGGGTGGCGGCCAATAGGAAACAGTTGGGCAGAGCTAGCTGTCACCACTAGAGGGGCGCTAGGGGAGGGGGGGGAACACCGACCAACGTTGAGGGAAAGAGGGGAGAGACACCGTCCGATGCTGGGGGCTCCAAAATTTCCTCGGCCTAAAAGGGGTCACAAGTGGAGAAAGTTTAAGAAGGCCTGATCTAGACCACAAACTGGGAGTCATCAGGAGTATACACCAGCGGGCAGAGAAAATTCCCACCAGAACAGAGGCCAAGACGAAGGAATTCAAACACCTCAGGGGAGCCCTTAAAACTTGCGGGTAACCAGACTAGGCTTTTGTCAAAACAGAAAGAAGAGGAATTATTTGTCATTGAAGAAGAGTATTTGTCATTGCACACCTCTCTCTCCCAAACTAATTTGTATCCTTTATTCTCCACTTGTTTGCCTGCTGTCACTAAACATGCCTATGTTTCCAAAAGGGAAAAGGATCTTCAGTGTACTAAGACTGCTGAAGATTGGCAGTGGATGGGGTCAGCAATCTCTGTTGAATCGGCTTTTAAAGTTCTCATGCGATGGTATATGGTACCGTCCAGGGTGACACATTTTCTCCCTTCAATCTCCCCCACATGCTTTAGGGGTTGCAGTGTTGCTGGTGATATGCTGCATATATGGTGGACTTGCCCTATGCTAAGCAGGTTGTGAAACAAATTATTTCATCTTCTGCAATCCCTTTTCTATGTCCCCTTACCGAGAGACCCATTTTTCGCACTCCTACACATTAAGCCCCCTTCCCTTACTAATTCCCAATTCAAGTTGGCCACTTTGATTCTGTTAGCACCAAAGCTAAAGCTTGGAAGAAACAATTTATACCATTCTCTCTTTTTTTCACAAACAAGAAACGTTCCAATATCCTTTTGGATAACCCTAGGAAAATTTTGAAAGTGTGGTCTCTGTGGATAGAAAATGCCCATTACTCACTTTCTTCCAAAAGCTTTACCTCCTTATAGCCTGCAGGTTTCCACAAACCCGGGGCACCCTCCTGTGTCTCTGTTTCTTCCTTTTATCTTACTTTCTTTCTCATTATGTTCCTTACTTCCTTCTGGACCTCCTTTCTTCTTCCGCTCATTCACCTTATAGTGGAGACTTCTGAACCCCAATCGTTTCTTTTTGCTATGATTTTTGCAATGACTCCTTTTGTCAACTTTGTTTCCTTAACTATTCAGCTTACATGTAATATCACTTTGATGTTCCTGTCTCATTGTTGTTAATTTTTGGCAAGTGTTTATTGCAACACAATTGTTGATACCTTTTCTATTGTAAACGTCAATAAAAATGTATTGAAAGTGGAAAAAAAATAGGTTGCCCCAGATCTTTCAGAATCTTTGGTTACACAACACATTTTAACTTATTCTCAACCTGGTCATGCAGCAGCCTGGTTTTGCTGGCGTAAAGAAATAATAATTTCCCATAAAAAGTTGTATTACCAAGAATTTTATATATCCAATTACTCTGAGTAAACCATGCATAACAAACCTATTGACATACTGAGCAATTTTGCTGATGGTAAACTACTGAAGTCTATGTCAGCAGAACCCCAGTGTTTCACAATTCCTACACTCCATCATGCATTATAATGATCCAACTGCTACAGTAAATGCACAAGGGCAACCTATTTTGTTTGCAGACAGATACTTGTTTCTCTATTTAGCCTCTATAAATAAACAGAAATGTTTGAGCGATTTGAAAGAAATTACCTTTTATGTAGTACTCTGTTTTTCAGAACTGATTTGGGTTAAACATCATTTTCATAAAATTAATCTAATGCTTTTTATAGTAGATATCTTTTTCGTGGCAAGGGTCAGGTTAAAATTTCTGCATTCTACACTACAAATACAGCATTTTATAGGTAGCTTCTTTACAGGTATATATGTGGGGTGATTTAAGAAAGACTGTTCAATTTGCAAAGTATATTTTTATATTGCAAAGTGAATGTTCATTTAGTTTTTGGAGAAAGGTGAAACTATATTCACTTTAATTATGTACAAACAAAACAATTTTTAAATATACCTTGCACATGAATGGGCATTAAAAAAAGACATCTTCAAACTTTGTGCTAAACTATGTGACAATACACTTGGCAAAGTGAAAATTCAATTTACTAACTGTACAGCCTCTGCTGTTTTAGAAAATC